CTGGGAATTGTAGTTTATTGTGGCATTAGAGCTCTCTGACAAAGAAGGCTAAATGTCTCAAAAAACTACAGTTCCGAGAATTCCATATCATTGAGCCATGGAAGTTAAAATGGTCTCAAACTGGATTATTTCTGCTGTGTGTTTTGAACCATAGTTTCAGCAGTTTTGGGCAGCCCCTTTAAAGTTTGGACTAAAAACCAGGCCAGATTCACTGCCCCATTAACTTTGGAGCCACTAGCCTCTAATGCTCTTATGCTTCCATATCCAGCTAGGAGTACACATGTGGATCCCTGCTTCCATGTGATAGGGGATATGGGATGACCCTTCAATTCCCCCCACCACCACCCCAATTGAACTTGTACTCTCAGTGGCATTTAATCTAGAGAACTGAAATAGTTTACTTCCCTGGCTGACGCTTAATGATGAGTATGTAGATATGTTAGTGGATTTTCCATAGAGTGTGCTAATAAATTAATGATTTCCTAACAGTCCATGAAGAAGTTATATGATTCCTGGCAGTGCTGAGGTGCACAAATGGGTGTAAAGATCGGTTTGAAAAAATGCAGGCAACAGAAAGTTCAGCGGGAGGAAGGGATTTCCTAACTTACATAGCAAATGAGCAAGCAACCTCTGCTTACTGAACATTTTCCTGTAGATGTCCCTGCCACTGAAAGGGTGCACCATTTACTTCACTGGACTCCCCTGGAGTACCAAATCTCATTCTGACCAGAGTGTGGCACAACCAAAGGACAAGGTAGGCTGCAATGAGATCAGTACTGGCTGAGCAAAACGTCCCAGATGACTAGTAAGGCTAGTAAAGTGCAATTACAGTAGGAACAGCCTGTGCTTTATAGACTATAGTAAAGCATTTGATTGTATAAATCATGAAAAATTATGAATCTCTCTTAAAGAAATGGGTGTGCCACAACATTTGATAGTCCTGATGCATAATCTGTACTCAGGACAAGAGGTTACTGATAGGACAGAATATGGAAAAGTGGACTGGGGGGTCAGGCAAGGCTGTATTCTATCTAATTTGTATGCCAAGAACTTCATACAAAAAGCAGGATTGGACTCAGAGTAGAAAGGAACATGAACAATCTAAGATATGCAGATGACACCATAATTGTTGTTGTTTGTTGTTAACTGCCTTCGCTTCAGTCTCAGCCCATGGTGACCCTATGGATGAGACATCTTCAGCCCCCCTTGTCCTCTACTGCTCTGCCCAGCTCCTGCAAACTCATATTCGTGGTCTCTTTAATAAAGTCTGTCCATCTAGCATTGGCCTTCCCCTCTTTCTACTTTACTCCACCTTTCCGAACATTATTGTCTTTTTCTACAATTTATGCCTTCTCATGATGTGTCCAAAGAACGACAGTCTAAGTCTTGTCATCTTGGCTTCTAGGGATATCTCTGGCTTGATCTGTTCTAGGATCCATTTGTTTGTCCTTTAGACTGTCCATGGAATCCTCAGCACTCTTCCCCAGCACCACATTATCTCAAATGCATTGATTTTCCTCGTATCTTCTTTCTTGACTATCCAGCTCTCACATGCATGTATAGTAATAGGGAATACAATGGCTTGTATGATTCTGACTTTTGTGCTGATTTGTATGTGTTTGCATTTTAGGATCTTTTCTAGTTCTTTCATAGCCACCCTCCCCATTCTTAATCTTCTCCTGATTTCCTGGTGGCAGTCCCCATTCTGATCAATGTTTGATTCCAGATATGAGAACTCTTTTACTACTTCTATTTCCTTATTGTCTAGTCTGAATATGTGTAAGTTCTCTGTGGTCATAATTTTGTTTTATTTATGTTCAACAGTAAGCCTGCATTGGCACTTTCTTTTTTGATCTTCTTTAATAGTTGTTCCAGGTCTGTGAGGTTTTCTGCTATTATCATGGTGTCGTCAGCATATCTCAGATTGTTGATATTTCTTCCTCTTATTTTCACTCCTCCCTTTTCCATGTCCAAGCCTGCTTTCTTTACAATATGTTCTGCATATAAGTTGAATAGGTAGGGTCAGGGGTAGGCAACCTTTCCCCTTTAAGGGCTGAGGAACTTCAGCTCCCAGAAGCCTCAGCCATGTTGGCCAATAGTCCCATGTTGGCCAATAGCTCCTGGGATTCTGGGAGCTGAAGTCCCTTGGCCCTTAAAGGGGAAAGGTTGCCTACCCCTGGGTAGGGTGATAGGATGCAGCCTTGTCTGACTCCTTTGCCCAGGATAGATTCAACCAGAGAAGCCAGGACCATGTATCTGAAAGAGCTGAGCAGGGTGGTTGAGGTTAGGGTGACTTGGAGGTTTCACATTTATAGAGTTGCCATAGGTCAAAGTCAACTTGGAGACAGTTAATAACAACAAAATAGCATCTTTAGCAGTCACTTATCAAAAGACTTCAACCTTGTGTTTCTCCTGTTGCTGTTTTGCATTTCAATCCTTGATGGAACACACCTTTTTCAGTGATGGAGTGGTGGTGGAAAACATTAAAAAAAAATGTGACCTCTATCAACAATTGAAATACAAAGCAGCAACTGTAGAGAAACAAAGTTGTGTGATAAGTACTTGCCATGTCATGCTGGGATTGATGTATGAATGTGGTTTTCAGTATCTATACCAGACTTTGAGATACCCTTTGCAAATCAGGAAGCATAGCCGGACAGTTCATGGTGAAGGTATTTATTTACAGGTGATAAGGAGATGACTATATACAGAAGCAGAACATAGTTCCAGGATAGAAGTAAACACTCTCTTCCTCCCAAGTAGCTCACAGGAACACAAAGCTAAAACTAGAACTCTCACAATACTCACAAACACCAATTGCAACTGCATTTTCCATGACTCCACAACTATGACCCCCAATTGTTTACATTAGTCTCAGCCTTATATACTCTTGGCTGATGCAACCCTCTATTACATGGCATAATGCATTACATCATTCATGCTGAGTCAAACATCTATACATATACAGGTGCAGTGTTCAATACACGAGTAAGTGTCTGGCCACCTCAAGGACATCTATCACCAGAGGTCCTGGCCTTGTCACACAAACCACACACACACAATGACTGTGTAGTTCTGCATATCTAAATTCAATTTGGTGACATGCCAAAGATGCTATTATCCTGCTGTAACTGCATTTTACTAGCCTCATGTGATCATAATTTGACACATGTATCTATGGACTCTAACTCTTCAGTTAGCCATACCAACATGTTTTATGGTGGCCAGTTCTGTCAGAGAAATGCTTGATGGGACATGCAGTCAGACTAGAAATGGAAAAGACGTATGGGCAAATTTCCTGTGGGAAGAGATTTGGAAAAACATGTTTGGGGCAGACAAACAACAGGTGTCAACAACAATGAAACTGGAAAAAGAAAACACTAGTGTGTTTTGGGTAAAGGATCCTAACCAAAACACACTACGTAAGCATGGCTTGTCACATGGACAAGGACATCAGCAACATGGGTTGGGCTGGAAGACTGGGAAAATGGGACTCAGCCAATCATCTGTAATGTACACACCCAAGTGGGTGGTAGCTTGGAGGAACAACAAAATGCTTTGTCCATGTGTGCAGAGTGAGAGAGAGAGAGAGGGAGGGAGAGAGAGAGTTTGGAAGGTTTTGGTCATATTCTGCTGTGTGGTGTGTTGCTAGCTTTGTTTTGTAAATAAACAACTGCTGTAAATAATTCTAGTTGTAGAATAAAGATAGTTTTCTTAGACTACAACTGGTGTGTTTCCTGACTGCTGGAAAGGCTGGAGAGCTCAGGCAGTATCATCAAGATCCAGAGGAAAAGTCTGGAGGCGTGCAGGAGATGTCAGCTTTTCCTGTCAACTCTGCTGTTTTGTAACTGCAACACACATCATCCACCATCCACTGACACTTATTTAATCAAGATATAATTTTGGCTCTAAATTGCTCTAAATCTCAACTGGACCACAGAATTGCCTTGCTAGTTATTTTGATGTCTTTACAGTGCTATAACCTAGCAGGGAGGTGAAGACAAGGTAGTGATAGAGTACAAAGGCTTGGAGAGTGAGCAGGGAGAACTAGCCATTTGGGGGTAACATCAACCTCTCAAACATGAAGGCTTTGGTTTTATCTGCCACAGTGATAATTTTCTCTCACACCAAAATGGTTACTAGAAGTAGTCTCATTTTCTGCCCTTCTCTCTCTACTTGAAGCAACAATTTTCTTGCCAATTTCTGTTTAATAGACAGAGGAGGTCAGTGTTGGCTGGTAAAAAGGCCCCTTTACTCAACTGTTGTTCCCTCATTTAGTCAACTTGCAAAGCAGAGAAAAAAATTATAAAATCTATGTATGATTTTTCCTCTGGGATATTCAAATGTTTGTTAGAAGTAGATACACAAATTCTGTGGAAAAAAAATAGGTGTCTGGGGGTTCTATCCTATCCTACCCTATCCTGTTCCATTATCTTCATTCTGAATTTTAAAGAGTCACAAATATTAAGAGTTGGTAAAAACAGGACAATTACCATCAATCAGTTCCTGCACAATATTGCACAATAAAATGATAACCTCCACATCAGCAGATGCTTATTCAATTCAAAACTTATAAAATACTGGGCAGAGTTTTTAATTATTTAGAACTCTTTAAAGGGCAAAGAGAGCACAAAGGGACTGGACGGAGAAAAGTGGGCTATATTAAAGCTACAAAGCTACAGAGTTACAGTTCACTTTCACAGCTTTCATTTTGAGCATTAGAACTGTCCTTGTGTTACTCTTGGTGATATTTCAATCTGCTTGGCCCTCACGACCAAGAGCTTTTTAGTCCTGCAGGGGGGGGGGGGATGCAAATAGGGACTTCCCAGCTGGGGTTAAATAACACTGTAGATATAAGAGAAAGGCAGAGAATTTCACATCAGCAGTTGTGGCTGGTAACTTCTATGTCAGTGAATCCATTCTGGCTTTTTGTTGGCACGTTAAAGGCGTTACCCAAGGTGCTGAACTTATTTGGGTAGTGGGCACAGAAAACAATGAGAGCCAGTATGGTGTAGTGGTTTGAGTACTGGACAATAACTCTGGAGACCAGGGTTTGAATCCCAGCTCAGTCATGTAAACCCATTGGGTGGCCTTGAGCAAATCATACTCACTCAGCCTCAGAGGATGGCTATGGCAAACCCACTCTGAAGAAACATGTCAAGAAAACCCCATGACAGGTACACCTTAGGGTCACCATAAGTTGGAAATGACTTGAAGACACACATCAAGAAGAACAATGTAGAAAACAACTGTCACCACTGGATCTCAGGATGCTTGTTTCAGTAAAAACCCTTGTGTTCATCACAATACATAGTCATGTCAGTGTAAGAAGTTGAAAAGATACTGTTATTGAATTGCAACACATTGAAATTAGAACATCTTTCCCCTTTCCCAAAGCTAAATTCTGTGGAATACTGGGTGGGCGGGCTGTACATCTTTGAAACATCTAGATTAAACAAATGTTGATAGAATTCAAACACATCATTTAATTTTGACAGTACTGATGTGTAACTAGAGTGTGTCTTCATTTTCAGTGTTGTACGGTAAGGCAGATTCCTTTCAAGTATTCTTGCCCCAAATGCCAGGAAAATTTGCCTGATGAGCATTTTGTTCAATGTATTAAAGTTTCCATTAAAAAAAAGACCTCAAGTTACTGAATATTTCCTACACATCTATTTATTTGCAAGTATGTAGATTAAGAATACATGGAACAAAAAGCACAAGTGTTTTATTTATTTACTTTATATCCTTTCTCCCATCAGAGGATTCAAAGTGGCCTACAGTGTTTTCATGGCTGTCCGGCCTCTTTCAAAGCTGCTATACCCACAGCAATACTTGTGGCTTTTCCAACACTACCTTGTCCTTTCTCTCCTAGGATTGTATTGTCCATGCATCTTCATGGAGCAAGCAATGTGATTATACAGATGGGAAGAGATTAGGGTGGTGTGGTGTGCCTCTTTCATCTTTCTTGGTAATCTGTGTCTTTTTTTACAGAAAGGAAAAATCCTATATAATGATAAGGAAACATTTGCCAGAAATCACCCATCAATGTATAGTGAGTGACTTATGTTGTAAAATAGGGGTATGAGCCCTGTGTGAGCTTCTATTCACAGAATGGGATGACAGAATTATTGAAGGAGACATTTTGAATACTCCCTTTGCAGGTAATAAATTAGAATATTTATATGATGTGCTTTTTTCAGCATGAAGGGAAACTTTTGTTTTGTCTCATTCTGAAAGAATTAAAAAAGGCACCCTTACATGCACATATAAACACACACACTACACCTCAAAACCCCAGACAGCTTGCTCTGACACCAGTTTGTCCTGCAGAACCTGTAAAACAAGCCCTGTGGCTCCACACTCTATGTTATACCCACCTTCTCTGACCTTCTCCAGAATAGCAGAGATTATTGATCAACATTTCAAAACTCCCAAGCAGTTCTGCCTCTTTATTGTTTTAATAAGAACAACACTATAAATCATACAAGTTGGAGAAAAACATCAACATATTTGGAAAATGACCACATTCTCAAATAAATAAAGAGAGAAACAGTCCCAAAGAGTTCCATTTATGTACCAAAAATATGTCATATTTGGTAAATGAATAACGCAGTGAACAAGAGATAGCCACTTCATTTCCTCCTCTCAGGCCAGTCTCTGGACATGGGCCATCAAGCCAGTTCCAGCAAGCTGAGGAGAGAAATGGTCATGCCAGCCCACATGCAGCTTGTTTGGTGTTCCAAAGAGGAGCAAACTAAATGGAAACTCATTAGAGGGCAGATCAATGATCATCTACCCACATATTTGGAAAGAGAAATTGGATTCTCCCTAGGTGACCTTGCTCGGAGCACTTAGTCTGATGTACCCATATATTCCAACCTGCCCCTATGATGGGTGCCAGTGAAATGCATACTACTTTAACTGTCTGCAGGAAGCACCCTGTCAATATATTTATTTTATATTTTTTTAACATGTCTATCCTGCTGTAACTCCACTAAGTACTCAAAGAACAAAGCAAAGAGAAATAAAAATGAAACAAACAGCATGAAAACAACATTATAAACAGAATTTGGAAGAACCTTTTAGCAAATTAATGTAATAGTGTTACCTATATGGAAAGTAACATGCTAATCATTAATTGTCATGTGGTATGCTCTGCATATTGCCTTAGCAATGTATTAGTAATGCATTACTAATTAGTCATGTGCTAGTTTAACCAATTTCAGTTGCTGGTTTTTTTTTAAGAAAATCCTTTGAAAAGAAAAATGGTTTTAATAATCCCCTCAAATGACTCTGAGAAAACAATATTTTAAAAGGGTGAGGAAATATTACTCACTAGCTGTGTACAAACAAGTTACATGTTGCTCTATTATTTCACAAAACACACTTTGTTGTCTTCCTTACCACAAGAATTATTTTTTTACTTTGTTTACTTGTAACATAAATTGTAACCTATTACTTCCATGTTCCTCTTATAAAAATAAAATCACCAGACTGTCAAGGAAAAGAATCTATCCATAGAAAATACACAGTGAGAACTTAGGGCAGAACAGAGAACTTTAGAACCAACTGTATCCTTCCAATTGGAGTTGATGTTTAGTTTCTCATGCTTGATAGCATCACCAGGCCTCTCCTGGGTCTCACATTTTGGCGATGAAATCTCAGTGCATGGGATATTTTTCATTTGGCAATCCTAGAGAAGGCAGTCTTTAAGAAACTTGGATCTCAGGTCAGTTACTTATTTACTGATAAAATCAAATACAGTGGAGTTAGTTGGCCTGCCCTCGATAGTAGTGCAGGATCAACATGAGAAGTTTCCAGAGTGAGATATACTTTTCAAGAGCAGTCTTATGTAGGGAATGTAACACTTTTTCTTCTCTCTGGGTTCATGTTGACTGGTGATTTGATCCAATTTGTTTTGCACCATTTAATGCAATAGTATTTGAATTGATATTTCTTGTAACTTAACACTTTAAACTTTCTTCTGAATAGAGAACATATGTCGGTATTTTGAGGCACTGAAGGCCACAAAAATGGCCCTGGCGCTGCCTGTAGCCTGTGGACCAAAATTTGCCAACCCCTGCTCTAAAGACTTTGTGCAAAAGCAGTAAGTTCCTATGGGTGGGATAACTAGAACCTGCATTGTGCAGCACTACCTAGAGCAAAGGAGGAGTACCTTAGACTATGGGGCTAATTCACTCCTTAGATGTTCTCCATCCAACCCAAGGACTTTAGAAATAACAAACTAACTTAAAAAATGAATATTATTTTTTTTAAAAAGCAATGGCCTCCAGTTTGCCACACATACCCCAACCAGGAACATTTTGCAGGGAACAGAAGCTCTTTTTGTAGACAAGCCATATTTTGCATAGAACTGCTGAATTTGTTTGCACACTTGCAATATTCTGCATGATTGAAAGCTGTTGTGCTGGGGCATTTGCATCTCTTCCCACTTTTGCTTTAGCTCATCCCATGCCCTTAGCCCACTGACAGGTAGAATCTGCCCCTTGAGATCCTTCCCAAATTGAAATTCAGACCTGGACTGCAAAATGTTTTCCATATCTATCTAAGCAAAGTTCCGTGGAAATGTGATGACATTTTCTGTTCTAAATTTTCTTTCAGGTCAATGAATTCTAGAGCTTGGATATAACATATTACAAATAATAATGTTACCCAAAGGTGTGTATATATTACACTAGGAAGGGCAAAGTGAGGGCTTTGATCCTCAAATATGAATTCTACCCCCAAAAGAAATATGAATTCTACCCTCAAAAGAAATTTGCCCTCAGATTTACAGCATGCCAGACTGTAAGGCACTAAAATCATACTCTAACCACTAAAACCATTTTGTATATAGTGTCTGCCTAAACATGGAAGATCTGTCTTACTCTTATATCATTAACACTCACTAAAATACAGAACAATTGTTTCCTATTCTCTATTTACTGTATTCTCATTCCCTTGGTAACTCTGCATGCCCCCTTTGCATTGGATATCTAAACTTTGGGGTCAAGTAGGAAACAGTGGCCTGAAGCTGCTGGCTTGTTGTTTTATTTTTGCCCCCACCATCCATGTGCACTGTCACAAGAACACACCACTGGTGACTTCCTGCTGCCTAGATGCTAGATGCCCCCTTTGATTGTGCACACAGTCCACCAGGACAGGGCATCAAAGCAGAGGTGTGCTCAGTAAAATATTGGCAATGCACAATCCTGCTCTCCTACATGCCCCCTTCACCCCATGCTCCACCTTGGACTGTCTGGTTTGTGTATGTTGTACATATAGCCAATGGAGGTATCACACTTTTCCTTTTTTGCATTGCTGCCCCGACCTCTGGCTCTGCCCTTTTTAAATGTGCATATATTCCAGTGCATTTATATGCTGCTTTAGGGTTAGGGTTAGAGTTAGATTTGACCACTCCTTTGGGACCGGTCTTGTGTTGAGGTGTTTATATGCAGGGTCGAAGGTGTGCATTTTTCCAGAAGGAGCTGTTTATTTCAGCTTCTTTTTAGTCCTGCTTTTGCCCTCTTAGTGTGGGTGCATGCCTTTGGGGGCATGTGCCATCTAAACACCATGCCCACAAAGCAGCCTGAAACTATTTCTTTTGGCTTGTCTGTCTGAGGCCTTTATTTCTAATTACTACAATGCTAAACATTTGGGGACTGAAGGAAAGTGGGGAAGGCAGAATTCTTATTTGGGGGATAACTCTCTTATTCCTCCCCCTCCCCATTGCTACACCCTTGGTGTTACCTGCTGTAACAGATATTTGGGGCTAAAAGGGTAAGAATGATTCTTTTGCAAAATAAAATAATGCCTAGTAACATAGGTATGGTTTTTTCCATGTAAAAATTATGGGGTCACCATACATAGACAGCTGACTTGAAGGCACACACACATACAATAAGTTTCACTGATGGCTTATCTAAGGGGAAGATTTTGAGAGGACACTCCCATTTTAACCTATATTCTTTTAGCTTAAAAGAATCTAAAAAGTAACAAGCCAACAAATTGTACTTTTCCAAGCTGCTGCTGCCACTGTCACCTCTTCCTCCTTT